CAAGGTCCAGAACGGGGCAGAAGCTTCTTCTTTCTGACGTCTAAGTGCCCCTTGGGGCAGCCCTTTGCAGGACTCGGAGCCTCCCTGATGGCTGACACAAATATCTACTGCCATCTGCTTTTGCTGACACCAGAGGGCTATGGCCTGAACCTAAGGCCCCACAGGACAGCCATGTCATTGTGCAAACAAAATAAAAAATGACATTTAGTTCACCATCCAAGATATAAATACACATTAGCATCAAGAAACTATTTGTTACACTTGCAGATGTCTGACTGGGGAGACTGGGAGATGTTGGTACAAGAAAGACAGGAGGGAAAGGAGACTTAGAGGAGGAAGGTGAATACAATTGGATAAGCTATTTAAGCACTTTTAGATAGCCAGACAGAAGCAGCCACTGGGCCCTGGAGCAAGGATTCTGTTTGTGGGGATGCTGATGCTAAGGGAAAATGCACAGGGCACCAGCAGAATGGACTATGATGGTCCTCATCAAATAACAAGGCTGGCATGCACTGGGACACCCACATCCCCACATTGTCCTTAGTTTCCTTTTGTCTACAATGTACAAAAAAAGTCAGCATGTTTAGCCCTTCTCAAAGTCACTCTTCCTCTTTCATGAGCTTCATGCCCTGAGAGCAACACCACTACAGTCACCTCCCGTGTCCCCTGCAAGTCTGTCTCCCTCTCCACTCCACTCTCTCCTTCTCCTCTGCCTTCCATCAACCAAAACTGTTGACAAATGTACAGTGCATGATGTGGTCAGGTATAGTGACTGGGTCACCACAGAAGAGTCACTTGATTAATATTTGTTGAGTTGAACTGAATTAAACTGACTGGAAAGACTGAGAATGTTTAAATTATTACACATTCAGCTACTTCCAGATCAGATCTAAAGAGAAGCCAATCAGAGTCCAGGCTCAGCCACAGCTAGAAGAGAACAGTTATGCCTGAGGTCCTGGCCTGGAACCTTCCAAATTCCCCTTTAATTATGCGGTAACATCCTAACCTGCCTACCAACAAATCCTAATTCACCAGCTAACTGCTGTGATGCAGAGAGAAGAATCTAGGTAACACACAGATGCTTCAGGCAAATGTGAAGGCCTGGAGTTCTGGCTTCGAGGGAAGCAAGTAACTCCATCCCTTCCCCAGCTTTGCATACATGCCTGGTTACGCTTTCCCCAGGTCTGAGATGATATGTGGTTAATTACCGAGGCTTCCAACTTCCCTTTTAATTTTCCTGCCTAATTCAGGTGTCATAACCCTCCAGCAGTGTGTACTGTGAATGGTGGGTTGCATGTATGAATACAGGCTCAAAAGAAAATGGCCAGACATTATTACCTTATGAACATCTACGACTGCATGACCAATGTGATTCTACAACATGTACAATCAGAAAAATGAGAAATCATATCCCATTTATGTATGATATATCAAAGTGCATAAATGTATTCTACTGTCATGTATAACCAATTAAAACAATTTAAAAAATTTATAAAGTAAAAAAAAAAAATGGTGCTGAGGAGTGTTCTGATAAGAGAGGTGTAGACCCTGGTACATTGGACATTCAACATTTACCTCCCAAGACAAACGGTTCTTGCCCTGAGACTAGCTGTAGGATATTTAGCAACTAAGTATCATTATTATCTAATATAAACGCAAATATTTGATGTTAAGAGCATAATTCATGCCATCAGCTCCAAGCACCATTGCAGTAAAATACAAATATTCATACCCTTTTGAACATAAGACTGTAAAAGGGACTTAGAGAAGCTGCTTTTACTAAAAATCAGTTGTCATGAGAGAGGAGATAACTCGGAAGAGGATCTCAGGGAGTTTCCAAAGATGGGAGGAATTTTGCTCAGGACCAGTAGGATCCTCGACTTACAGGATGGAAAAGAGCTTCAACAGTCAGTAAAGAAACAGAATTTTATTTAGAAAGGAAAGGAATACACGTTCAAGGGACCATGTGGGCCATCTTGAGAGGGAAATATGTTTGGGGGGTTCCTGGCTCTACTTTCAAAGAAAACTTTGTGAGAGGTAGACCAAGGGTGGAAGGTAGAGATGACATGAGTCTGGTGATCTCAATATGGTTTGTGGGGTCTGCTCATTCTCAGGATCCTTACACTGATGCAGTCTATCAATGGATAATGCAGGAAAGCCCCCTAAATTATAGGTTTCTCAAGATATTGTATCTCTCTAAGGTAGAAGAAATGAGAAATGGGTATAAAGGAGACACAGAGGAATAATAAGGAAATATAATTTTAGTTTAAAGTACCACATACATTTCCAGGCCTATCACTCCCTAAGTCAGACTCTTTCCCAGACGTGTCACTCACAAATTCCTTGTAAATTTACTTGTGCACTGTCCCAGACAGTGGGGACTTGAAGATCTGATGTCACCCTGCTGTCAGTCAAAAGTCAAGAGGTGGGCCTTGGCAGGACTCTAGAAATTTTTCTAGGATCCCCAATAAAACTGGAGTGCAGGAGAGACATGTTGTCTCTCTCCTCTCTGAGAGGACCCACTTTCTCCCTTGAGAGTGTCCCCTTTCCCCTTCCTACCCTTTCAATAAACTCATTCCTATTATACTAAGCAACATGTCTGAAATCTTTCTGACTTAATTACAAGAGGGATTTGAAGGTGGGGGGGCGTGGTCTTCCTGATGTCTCAGTTTCTCAGAAGGCCCGGCTCTGTAACAAAGTGATAAAGACTTCTCTGGAGCCACTTTGCACAACCAGAACTGAGAATTACCCACCAGACCACAGTTCAACCAAAACTGCTTAATTTTGCAGATCTATTGCCCCTGCCCCAGTTCTCACTCTGTTTGAACCTAAAGCTCCCGTTTGTTTATGGGGTTCAGTGGGTTCTTGTGCACTCCATCAGAAGAATCAGATGAAGTATCCATTGATGGAACAAGATTCTATTGAGACTTCTTGCTGGAGCAGAAGGGAAACACAGCACCCACCAAGAGAGAGAGTGAGGCTGGCTCTCCAGATAGAAGAGAGTTTTATGCATGTGAAAGGGTGGCAGGGGTGGGCTAGAAATGTTAAGTAGCTTTTGATATTTTTCACAGGTATGTTCTTTTTTTCCCCCTGGGTGAATGTTTCAACCTTGAGGGAAGGGTGGTCGACAGTTCATCCTAGTGCCTTCCAAATATTACCTCTCTCCTATCATTCCTGAATCCTGTATAAACATCTCTGCCCTGTGATAAGGGTGAGAGCTGTTAAGAGAACACATGGGCCCGATGCAGTGACACATGCCCATAACACCAGTGGCTCCAGAGGCTGAGGCAGGAGGATTGCGAGTTCAAAACCAGCCTTAGTAAAAGTGAGATCTAAGCCTAAGCAACTCAGTGAGACCCTGTCTCTAAATAAAATACAAAACAGGGCTGGGGATGTGGCTCTGTTGTCGAGTGCCCCCTAGGTTCAATCCCCAGTACCCTGCTCCCACCAAATTTAGAGAGAGAGAGAGAGAGAGAGAGAGAGAGAGAGAGAGAGAGAGAACACATGGAAGAGAACAAGAACAAATCATGGCAAGTAACCAGTTAAGGGCCTGGTAGTTTGCCATCTTGATGGCTTCTCAACTGATTTTATCTTTATGTTGTTTGTCCTTAAACAGTCACAGTGAGACTCCTGGCCCTGGTGATGCTCCTGGTCTCTTAAGCTGATAAAGTTGCTTGAAGGGAATGGGTACAGTGCATACTGAGCTTTTAGTAGCTAAGAAGCTTCTAGTTAATGGCCGGGAATGCCTTGGCCCCTTGCTCCCAGGTGGTCCCTGACTGTCTCACTGCCAGCTCCCCAAAGACAGGGCTGAGACGCTGGACCTCCTTTCCCTCCCGCAATATGGCCCTATTGATTAAATTCTTTTCCCAATTTTCACCATTACTTTTTCTGCTTGGTTTTGGGGGAGAGTGTCCAGGCCTGTTTAATTGGTAGCCTGGAGTCAGGTCTCTGGCCTAGCAGTCTGGAGAAAAGACAGTGAAAGATGATCTTTCAATCCCTTCTATTTACCACTACGACAGAAGAGCAAGAGACTTTCTTTTATTTTCTTTGAAACTAAGTCTCTGTATCTTCCTCTCAGACACTATCCTAGAAAAACTAGTACTTCTTTTCTTCCAAGAATGGTAGTGTGTCAGTCAGATGTGTTTTGTAGACCCAAAGTGTTGTTTTAAAATATGAATTAGCCAGGTGTGGTAGCACACACCTGGAGTCCCAGCTCAAGAAGCTGAGGCAAGAGGAGGGCTGGAGTCCAGGAGTTCAAGGCTAGTCTGAGCAACACAGTGAGACCCTCTCTCTTTAAAAACAATATAAAATAAAATTAAAAAGCCCGGCTGGGCAACAGCAAGACTCTGTCACAAAATAAGAAATCAAAAGGACTGGGGATGTAGCTCATTGGTGGAGAGTCCTTGGGTTCAATGCCCAGTGTTACCTGAATTGTGGATTCTATCATTCATTACTCAATCAAATCTCAGGAGTCAGAGATCAGTGAAGGAAAACAGGTTTATTCAAAGCTGGTCCTGGGGAAGATAGAGAATCTCCATCTTGGGTAGGGGAAGGCAATGGGGTGCTAGAGACACAAACAGCTTTTATGAGGGGGGAAAAGAGTGAGACAAAAGGCAGGAAATACACACACTGGGTGGGAGCCCTCTTCTTCCAGAGCACCTTCATCTCAGAGCCTCTGAATCAGTTCCTTCCTCATCACATCAAAGGGCACCTCAACCTCCTAGGGCCAGCCCCTGCAAATTCTTTTGAGCTGAGGAGAGGCATTGCAGAGGGCTTTATTTAGAATTTAGACTCCCATGTAAGGGAAATAGGTTGTTAAAGATTGGGGGAAAATATCAGGAAAAAGTTTTCAAAGGAGAGAAGTAAATAACTAAAAATAATAAAATAAAACTTACCAAGGGAATTGGAAGAAATAAAGTATGTATATATATATATATATATATATATATATGTTTTTGTTCTGTTACATCAGCACCAAAGGAAAAAAGAAAGAGAAAGAAACCAAAAAGAAAACCAAATAAAATATGAGTTAGTTATTGTCTTACTGTATTTTCTATTGCTTTAACACAACACAATGACTAAAACTAGATGATATATAAAGAAATGAGGTTTTACGGATCTGGAGGTGGGAAAACCAAGATGAGATGTTGCCATCTGACGAGGGTCACATTCTGCTTCACCTCATGGCAGAAAGTGAGAACTCACTATGTGAGAAAGGTATTAATCCACTCCTGAGGTCTCTGTCCCCATGAAGCAAATACCTCCCTCTGGGCCCCACCTCCCTACACTGCTACACCAGGAACCAAGCCTCAACCATGAATTTTAGAGGTAATAAACCATATTCAAACCACAATAGTTATCAACATTTTAGAAATCATGTAAATTCATATAAGATCTAAATTGCCTGTTTTGTTCACTTAGATTATTACCTGGAGATATAAGACGTGAAGGTTGAAATGTCAGCCCTGAAGTTTCCCCAGGGCCAAGTTGACCTCACCCAGGAGACAAAGACTGCCTTGTTTTTTTCCCACCTAGCAGCATCAAAGACTGTGCCATGCCACGAAAGTCAAGTGTCCACCATCACTCTTCACTCTATAGACAACTGGCAGATAGGGGCTCCCAGACTATGATCAAAGTTGTGCATTGGTTGGTAGCAAAACCAGGAAAGAGTGAATCTTTAGCAATTTTCCAGTGTCGCCGTAACATTTTGGAGATGAAGAGGATAGGAAGCATTTCTTACTTTTGCCTCCATCAATTGTATTGATTTGACATCTGCTATCACCTCAAGGATCGATTTCCTGCTACATTTGGGAATCTGTAAGTCTACCTAGAAGTACAATCTTTGCTCCTTGTTGATGAAGTCTAAGCTTCACCTTTAACAAAACAAAAACAGTTTCTGACATCTAAAAAATATTTTTCATACTTCTAGCCACTGAATTCAAATATATATAAAGAACCAAGAAAAACTTTACAGAGTTTCCTGGAAAGTGAAGATTGTATTTTTAATATTTCAAGGTTGATATGATTTGTGGGGAATGATGAAAGACTTAAAAAAGAAAAAGAAAAAGAAAGAATGGTCTCTCTGAAATGGGAAGGAAAGAGAGGCCCATATGAGGAAAAACAGACCACCCAAGTAGAAAAGCTTACCATTTTACCTTACTTGTTACTTATTATTTCAAAACTACAACCCTAGCAAAAGGTGACTTAGCCCAAAGGTGGTATCTAATTAGTGGCAGGGACAAGTGAATGAATCAGACCTCTTGATTCACCTTTCTTTCTCCCCACAGGCTTTCTGCAGAGGACAAGTAGACAAAAGAGTAACAGACTTCCTCAAGAGTAACAGACTTCCTCAACAGCAATTTCAATGCTTCCCTAAAAACACAGTGAAATCTGTTCCACCTTGCAACTGTGGAGCTGGTGGGGACACCATAGAGAATGGGAACGAGCAAGGGGAGGGTAGATGGAGCTGGCATTTCAATACCCGGCACTTCTACAGGATGACTGCCAACAAAGTTTTCGCCCATCAGTCTCATAATGGGAAACGTTTCTATTTAACTTCTGGTAAATGTTTGGTCACAGGACCAGATTATGAAAATTTAAAAAATGCTTTTTAAAAAAGAAATGAGATGCTCCTCAAGGAGCATCAGCAGTACAACCCTTGACAGGAAGTTACTGTGATCATGGGTACCACAGCAGGTGACTGCCATTGCTGGAGATCCACAGATGACAATGACCTGGGGCTCAGTGATGATTTAGGTATGAGATTTCCCCTAAGACAGGTAAAAATTCTGAGAGGTGAAATGATTAGATTATAAGAGATGAAAACTAATCAGTGGATTAATCCACTGATACAAATTAACTGGGCAGTAACTGTAGGCAGGTAGGATGTGGCTAGAGAAAGTAGATCACTAGAAGTGTGCCTTTGGGGTTTATATTTTGTCCCTGGTGAGCTAAGCCCTCTCTTTACCTGTACCCCCCACCCACCCCTCCTACTCTGGTTGCCATGTTCTGAGTGTTTTTCTTCTCCATGCCCTTCCACCATGGTGTTCTGCCTTACACCAGGCCCAGAGTGAAGGAGTTGGCCAACCATGGACTGAACCTCTGATATTGCAAGCCAAAATAAACTTTCCTGCTAAGTTGTTTGGTTGGGTCTTTTGGTCACTGTGATGCAAAGCTGACTGAAACAGGCTATTTGCTTCATCCCTTGACTTACGCTAGTACTCCTACTCTTCTGACTATCCATATGTGAAGAAAGGACTTAGATGATCTGCACTATGGAGAGAATCTAAATGGTAGGGAGTGGGGGACAGGAAAACAGAAGGGAATGACTGAGCCCAAGACTGAATTATTATGCCACAGATTCAGATTCACCATCACCTGGTATCTAGCCCAGGATGGGGCCTATGTAGTTAGGACCAGGAGGGGTTGGTAGCCATGGGTGGGAAGGGAGATTGAAGGAGGAACAAAGATTATTTTATGCCAAGGTCTCGGCTTGGCACCAGAATCACGAGCCACCACACAGCTTTGTAGGTTCAAACAGCAATTCTTTATTCCAGCTCTCACACCGCCTCCACACAGGTCCAGGGGCAATCGCCTTCTCCGTCTGCCCGCACAATTCACCTACTCCCCGAGGCTATCTCCAAATCCCATTTTAATCTCACGAGAACAATGGGAACAAGCAGCAGGAACACCCTAATCCCAGCAATAATCTTCAACCGCCAACTTCCCTAAAACCCATTGTCTTAAACTGGCAACGCCTTAAACTCAAGGAGCCGGTTACTTCCTCAAACCTGATCAGCTCTAAACCCGGATCCGCCTTGGTCCTTGAGCAAGGTCACTTTATGAAAGCATGCATGCAATGTCCCATCGAATGTCCTCTAAGCAGCATGGGGTACGCTTGGCAAGGAAATTTCAATGCGTCATTCCTACTTGGTAATGGCCCTCAGCAATTTTAAACCCATAACCTGATAGAGTGCACCAGCACATGACTGAGATAAACCATGCGTTCCACACTGATCACTCCAGAGGCCATAATTCACCTGAACAAAGTCACCAACCTAGGCAGAGAAATGTTTGACTTTGATCCAAAAGATGGTTCTGCATCTTCACTTGTCTTTCTCCTCCTCTCCTCTGAATTTGACCCGGTGTGATCCCAAGGACACCAAACAGAAATCGCTTCCCACTTCACCCTGACCCTGGTCCTCAATGTCCCTGAAACACTGTGGGGGACGGACTTCTGGTCTCTTTGGGGTACTTCTGTCTTTAATAGAGGGTTTCTCTGACCTCACCCAAGACATTTTGGGTATTTCAGCTTTCATGGATGTTTTGTATCATCAGTCATAGGGGTAGTCTCCATTAGTGCACAATAAAAAGTTACTTTCATCATATCTTAAATCATATATCTGGGGCTGGGCACATAGCTCAGTTGGTGGAGTGCTTGCATAGGATTCACAAAGCCCTGGGTTCAATCCCTAGCATGAGCAATAAAAAAAAATCTTCTATATCTTATCACAGTATCCAGGAATGTTCTGGTATAAAATACCAGTGGTCACCTTTGGATGGTACTCACAGGCTTTCACAATAACACCCAGTTTATATAAATGAATGCTATACTTCCAAAATCATGCATGAGTGTGAATTATAATGGACAGAAAGTTTCAGGAGAGACATTACTTTTTGTAATTCTAACATAATCTGATTTATTTCAGGGCCTCCATTGAAATATGGTGTTCTTTTGGGTAGTTTAATGTATGACACACTCAGTATTCCCAGATGTGAGATATGCATCTTCCAAAACCCAAATAGAACAACAAAATATTGGACTTTTTTTTTTTGTTTAGTTTAAGGGATGGGTTATGAGATCAGTTTATATTTATTCACCTCTGGGGTGTCATGAATGACACCTGCCCTAATTATTCCTAGGACTTTTACCACTTGGACCAGCTCTTGGACATTTTCTGGATTTATCAACCAGTTTTCTGTTGGTCATTTGTGTCACCTCTGCATTTAGGTCAGTTATCACATGGCCTTTGTTGTCAGATATTATCATATCATCAGCATAGTTTGCCTCACACTAAGAACTTGAATCCGTCCAACTTTCTTCTATCAAATTATGACAGTAGCTGATGAATTCAAATGATCATACAGCAATTCAGTAAATGTAAATTGGACTCCTTCCCAGATGAAGGCAAACTGCAATTGACTATTTTCCAAGATCAAAACAGAAAAAGAATAAAGCATTGGCAACATCAATCACTGAGTACAGCTCTCATTTAGCCTGCTGTACTTCATGTACTGTTGAACTGTATCAGGGAATGCTGATGCCATGGGCGTTCCTTTATTGAAGCCTCAATTCTCCACTGCTCCTCTCTATGAGCTCTCTCCATTTCTTGCAGGTCATACAGGACTACTGTACAAAGAATTCATTACCATCCCTTCAGCTTCTAACATGCCATCAGTTTCTTCTTGTGCACCAGATATCCTGGACTGTTTCAGATTAACAATTGTGTAGGCTTGAGCAGCTAGCTCTAAGTAGTTCTGTTTAGTGTATCCAACCAAAACTGGCCTGAGGGAAGACTTAGATGCTTTCTGGTTTACAATACAAGGAGGGGAAGTGTTCCCCAGTTAGACTAGTACCTACCCTAATAATCCATTCAGGTGGAGGAGACAAAATCCCTTCAGACATTCTAATTCTTGTCCCGCTTCCACCTTAATCCCATGAGCCACTGTATGTCTTTATCCTCCCCCATCTCACTGTGGCCCCATTAAGACTTTACCAACAGATCACAGTGCATGGGATCCTTTGTCAAGGACTTCCAGAAAATTCTACATTCCTAGCCACTTCATCCACACATTTGCATAATGCCTTGAGTCTTCCTCTGGGACATACACAAGAAGACTCAGGTCTTTACTCAGTCAACATCTAGATTAATCTGGCAGAACATTGCCACAGGTGATTTGAGTTCAGGTTTGTCATCTTCTTTGTCATCCAGGTCCTTCCAAACATGGGTAAATAAAGCAGAGTTGTATTAGACCCTTTAATAATGAGGGTTGGCAGCGTTTTCCATGGGTTCACCCATCTCCCGATATTGTGTCGTTAAAATTTTTATTTCAATCCTTGAAGGTCTCCTTTATTAATCAACTCCAGCGACTTTATTCATCATATGGCTATTCCAGCCTGGCCGTCACAGAATACACACAAGCAGCTTTATCTGGGGAGTTAGTTCTGTTTGGCATTTGTCTAGTTCATTCGGTTTTGTTATAGCATACCTGAAGCTGGGTATTGTGAAAAAGAGAAAGAGAGAGAGAAAGAGAGAGAGAGAAGTTTATTCAGTTTATAATCTGGTGACTAGAAAGCATGGCACCTGGTGAGGACCTCCTTGGCTGCAACAAAACATGGAGAAATAGAAAAGGAAAGAGCCACATGCAGAGGGAGCATGTTTGAGAGGAATCCAGAGAGAGTGAGTGCAGAAAGGCAAATTTGTTTTATAACAACCTATTCTGGAGGAAACTAATCCGATCCCAGGAGACCTGACACACTCCCAAGAGGCAGCATTAATACTTTCATAAAGGAAGATCCTTCATAACCTAATTTCCTCCTCCTGAGCCTCGCACCTTAAAGCTTCTATCACATCAGCAATGTTTTAGCACATGAAATTTGGGGGACAAACCATACACAAACCAGAGCAGCATTTATGGAGGATACCAAGAGGTTTGAGAATCACAAACCCCATTCTGGACGTAAACAGACTTCACAGCACTTTTTTCCATGTTCTAAGCTAGCAGTCCCTGGGGAGCAAAGGCTGTGTGTCTGGACCCTCTGCAACAACCTACAGTTGTTCATTATGAGCTGTGAATGCTACAGTACCCAAAAGTGTGCATTGATTGTGCAGTTTCAAGACCAAAACCCATAGTTTCTCAGGCACAATCATTTCATAAAGGTTTTCCAGGAAGCTGATGAACATGATCCACAAAACAAGACAGCTCTCACACTATACACTTGGTTTCAGTTCTTTCTTGGGATCATCTTCCCCCAGCATAGACAAACTTCCTGTGACCACAGGAGTTTGCAGACAGGCTGTTTCTTGTCCCACCATAATTATTCTGATTATGAGTGGCCCTGATCTGGCAGCCACAGTCCAGACTGGCTGAAATCAGAGTTGGACCTGGCATCAGGATCCACCTTAACCCTCTTTTTCCCTTCACTTTAGCTATATCACAGATAACAAAAACCAAGAGATCATATATTTGACTTATTATTTTGCTTTTCCTGTACATTCAGTCAGCCAGCTCTGCAGAAGTTGAGTCCCACACTTCTAAATTCCATAGTAAATTTTACCTTTAGTGACCAATCTTCTAAGGAAGCCCATAGGAATTAAAGACCCCAAGTTGTGTGTGTGTGTGTGTGTGTGTGTGTGTGTGTGTGTGTGTTTCCTTTCATGTCCTGGTAACCTGTATCTCCCTATCTTAGCTTCCTCAAACTAATAGTGGAAGCTGAGAAGCTGCTCCTGGTCCAGGTGAGTGCCAATGAAAGTAGAATTATATCTCTGGCTAGCATAGTCTGGCTAAATCCACATACGTATACATTCTGGGATTTGTTCCTAAAAATTGTAACATTCCTGTAGAATAGGTGGAGATAGATTATCTATCTACCTTTCTTGTTTCAGTCAGACTACAGTTAAATTCATTTTTCCTTTTTATTAGATATTTACTTTTTAGTTGTAGTTGGACTCGGTACCTTTATTTCATTTATTTATTTTTATGTGGTGCTGAGGATCGAACCCAGGGTCTCACACATGCAAGGCGAGCGCTCTACCGCTGAGCCACAACCCTAGCCCCATTTTTCCTTTTTATATCTTTTTTTTTTTCTTATATCTGATGGGAGTGGGCAACCAAATCCAGTCTACTGAAATCCCCGCAGGGCCTCTAGCCTGAGGTGCCAGTGACAAAATCACAGTGCAAATACTGTCCCATAGTGTAAGTGGCCAGGCAGCTATCCAGGAGTTGAAGGTTCACCAATCCCTGCCCTCTCCTCCTTTCTCTTCCCAAACCACATGCTTCTGTGGGTTAGGGTTGATCAGGTGAATCCCACTCCCAATGCCAACTGCATAAGTTATCTAATTATGAAGTTGGGGGA